GCTTAGGGGTGGTCTCCTCCTTCGGTGGCGGCGGCGCCGGCTTTAGCACCCGGAGCGTAGATTGCCTCCCCAGGGTGGGGGGTGGATTTGGGGCGAGGAGCGCGGTGAGCTGCGTGGGGAGAGAAGTCATCTCCGGTACGGAGGGGGTTCAGTGTACCACCGGCGTGGGCAACCTGGGGAACGTCGTGTGTGCCGGCGTGGAGCAGTGCAGCCCGGGAGCCGTCATCATTCCCGGGCCAGGGGTCTGTGGCACCGGGAACAGGTACAGCACAGCTGTACGCGTGGTCAGAACAACCCGGTAGAGCCTGGAGGGCGATGACACATCATATTTTCAAATAATCAGCATTTCTGCAATAAAACAGTATTCCCCTTCCTTCTGACACCTATAGGGATCACACAACCATGCGCTGCCCGTGCCCACACAATTAGGCTAGTCGCTCTGCCAAAAACTCTTTGCATGATCAAAACCCACCTTCTCTTGCATGTCCGTCTTGGGGGGGAAACTCACCCCCACGGTCTCAGCCAGGTGAGATTTTCATTTCAGCGAGGCCATACCTGTCTTCACACAGCATCTTGGCTTTTAAACCAGTCTTCTCTGCTTGACCCCTTTTCAGCAGGGATTTTCTTTCCTTAACGCAGCTATTGCAAAAGGATGAAAAATTCGGTCATTCCCAACTTCAGAAAGAGAAGCCACATTTTAATTGTCCGAGATGAAGCTGCAGCTATTATTTAACTTCTTTAATGACACCAGAAAATCCAATTTTTCCTGCTTACGAGAGGGTTGGTAATGCTTATGTAAATTGGTCCAAGTTGCTACACAAGGTTTGGTAGAGCAGATTTTAATTACATGCCGACGAGCACCTTATATTTCTGTAGTTAAATGCATGAGTTGTTTTTCCTGTGTGTGTACTAGATAGACGGATTTAATGCTTTTTATGTGTAAGTGAACAGAGTCGATTATCCTTCGCTTACTCCAAACTTTCAGCTGTACCTTCAATAAACTACATGCATAATTCACGCTTCGCTTCCCGGGTTTTATTTCCCTCCCTGATATTACAAAAGCATAGAGATTTTCGCCAACGTGAATCTCCAGATGGGCAGTGTTGGTAGCTTGCAAGAAGTGGAGTTTTAGCAAAGGGTTTTTTGAGACTTTGTCTGCTCTCCTTCCTGATGCACTTTTGCATACCTTTATTCCAGCCAGAGATTAGCATGGCCACAAGGAAGGCTGGAAATGGAGCGTAAAGCGGGATATTTAACCGCTCGTGGGATGCGCGGCTCCCTTGGGATCTCTCGCACCGTCTGGGATCTCTGGAGGCAGAACAAAAAAGCAGCCAGGTCCTTGTTTAAAGAAATCGGTGAGAACCAGCTCAGGGAGTAACAAAAAGAAAATAATCCCACACCCCACCCCTGAAACCCTCTCACAAGAGTAGGCTAATTTTAAAAGAAAGCAAGAGAAATACCTTCCCCAAACACAGCATCAGGGCCTTTCTCCTTCAAACGCCCCGCTTGCCTGAAAACAGATGAACTTACACCAAGAGCAGAGTCTGTAGGATGTGCCAGGATGTACCAAGAGATGTGCCTGGGCATCCCCCGCCAGCCTCCCTTGCAGGGAGGGAAAATCCCTCTCCCATCATTTTAGGAGACTGGGATTTGGGTGAGATCAGGTTGCCCCTTCCCTTTTCTCTGCGAGGGTCCCCAGTTTCAAAGGGACAGTGACTCGCTGAAAGGTCCCTATAACGCGGCTGGGAAGGGCTTGCCATGGCACCACTCATCACAGCCGGATGCGCAGCTGGATGCCGGGAAAACCAACTGGCCCTGCCGGCTTCTTCTTTCCCACGGCTCACCTGGGCGCAGCCGAAAGCCCCCGAGACAACTTCACCCTGAATTGCCCTTTGGAGAAATCTGTCTCTCCTCTCCCAGTCTGGAAGCAGCACAGGGTGTGGGCAGGTTAATTTACCCCATGAAAGCTCCACCAGGGACCAGGCGTTGTAATTTATACCCCAACGTCCCACTCCGCTTCCCAGACCTCACTCACGGCTTGTCTGCCCCAAACCCCTCCATGGCTGGAGGATGAGTTCCCCCATCCCGCCAGGCTCCGTCTGTCCACGCTGGCGTGACGGTGATGAACCCGGCACCGGTTGAGCATCCGTCTCTGCTCCTCTCCCGGTACAGAGGCTGTGCCAAGCGTGGTGGATTCAGGCTCCCCATGACTGCAGTGCTTTTCTGATGGAAAGCAAGATGGTTTATTGGACAGGATCAGCAGGTAGCAGATCACTAATTATTTTTTAATAAATGACCTTCCTTAGCAACACTGTCTGGGCTGGGGCAGTGTGAAAGCCAAATGGATCAGCCCTTGTTGAGAAGGCAAAACCCACCCACCTAAAGAGGATGTTTTTCAAAATGGTTATCCTCATCTTTTCTGTCTCAATACATATAACTCAGACTTCATCTCGTTTGTATGTAAATAACCAGCAGAAACACCCAAATAGAAGCTTCCAGTGCCCCAACAGCTCCTAATTTATGTTGATCACCTTCCAGCAAAACAATACCTGCCACCAAAAACCAGCCAGCTCCCCAGGGTACCAAAGCAGCCCAGCAGCTCCTGCATTTCTGGGAGACTACCTTTAACCATCCCTGCCCTTCTCAACCCTGGAATATTGCAAAACCCATGTTTTCTGCTGCCTGCTTGAAGGTGTTCATATAGAGCAGGCTATTTTGGAGAGAAAAGAGGTCAGGAGCATGTTTTTTGGGGCAGTTCGGAGGCCAAATTCTGCTCGGTGTCACTCTGGACATGCCCCTTGGTAGATCGATAGAGTCTGGTAGAGTTGATCCAAATGGACAGATGCAAAAAGCTGCATCTGCCTCCGGCTATGGAGCCCACAAACCTCAGCTCCTCCACACAATAAACGAGCCCGGTGAAGAAATGGTGCATTTTTCACCCAGGCTTTGCATCGCTCACATACCTTGTGGACAGTGGGCTGAAGGAAGAAGAAGAGTGTGGGAGCCTATAATGACAATTCCCTCTTTCTTGTTGGCAGCCCCACCTTTAATCCCATTATATTCATTCAGCTCTAATATCTGATCCGAACCCGTTTGTCAGCTTCAGGACAATCTGCCTTTACTGGGGTCAAGAAAGCATGAAGACAATCTCATTTTCCCATCGCACTCGGGCTTTGAATTTTATGCAAACAACCATTGCAATAGATGTTCATGAATTTCAAGCGACATCCCAGGCAGATTCAGACCAACATTTTCCAAAGAGAGGCAAGCCGACCTGTACCAACTGGGAATTTCACCCTGCAATGGGAAATTCTATTTGAGTGACCCAGCCCTCCTGGTTTGAGCCTGCCTGGCAGCATTTCTCCAAGGATAATCAGATATTTGGTCTTCTGTATTCGGCAGAACACGAAGCACCTGCTTAATCTTTCTTCCAGAGATGCCAGTGGGATTTTAGCTCATACTTCATGGTTTCGTAGCACTGGGGCACATGAATGTATTTTGAAGGGCATGTAGAGTCCTGTCCTGCAAATACGTTTAAGCTCCAGTCATGCGCTCAGCACGGGCAATGCCACCAGGACAGCAACACGCTGAAACCGAACCGAGCTCTTAAATACAAAGAACAAAATAAATGTTGCACTTCCACAAAATCTGAGATGCCAGAAAATGTCGCCACACCCTATTGAATTTGCTCTTTTTTTTCCACAAGGACTCCAGGAAGTAAAATAAAGAGAATTTGTGGGAGTATTTTTCATGCTGGTTAAATCTTTGCTTTTGGCAACATTTTGAACGGAAAGGTTCAAAGGTTTTTAAAAGAAATCACAGCTGTAAAGAGCTAGAAACTCAAGACTGATTACATCTTAATGTTAACATGTAAATAATACCATTCCAGAAAGCTGGGCAAAGTGTTTTTCAGAAAATCTGCCTCCTTCATCGAAATGTTTTTGAGCTCAAGATGAAAACGCATCGATCACATCATCAGTTGGTGGAGACATGGCAATGGCAGCCTCTGGGTGGGATGGAGCTATCCTCTGCAGATGCCGGTACCTCTAGAAAGGAAGCCTAGGAAACCTGCCATAAACTAAATACCCGATACTGAATGGCCAAAACTGGAGGTGACATTTAAATACAGCGTCTCAGAGAAAAATCATGGATCAGGATCTCTTTGCGCTAGTCAGCTCAAAAAGACGGTCTCTGCCTAACCGGCGCGAACAGGCACCCTGGATAAATTAGAGCCCTGAAAGAGATGTCAGG